AGGTAAATACGAGGGAGTATAACAAAAAGCTAAAAAGCAACTTTTGTGGACACAAGTAAAGCCTAAAGAATGCATGGTTGACAGGTATGCAATAGTGAAAAAGTCGGGATTGTCTGCTGTGTTGAACAGCGTAGCTTTCTGATAGAAACAGGGTCAACGATACTTTATGATGTTATTGCAAGTACCAATTTTATTAACTTTCTGAATAGCCGGTACAACACGATTCTTAATATGGTGCGGATCTATTTATTTGTTAGCTGTTCCCCATCGACTAACCTACTACCCTACTAACCTCATAAGTTTTGATGAGAAGGAATGCAGGCATAACTTTTCACGTCCATGTACTAGTATATCTAGACACTTTATTGACGTGATGGGTTGTCGGTTCTGATATGTGCAGTTGGTATGACACAAATATAGAACGTTATTTACTGATGATGCATCTGTACTTTCAAGATTCATCTGTATCAGAACCGGCGAGACTCTGGAATGTCCGTGCGATTAACAATTTTATTTATTTTCCGAATACCCGGTACATGTACACCTTGGTATCTGATTACTGATCTCCAGACATTTATATGTCAACACTGCTATAGTAAATCTTATAATTCACAGTCTCTCACCGACCTCCCATAATTCTTGAAGACAATGAGCTGATATAACTCGACCCTGCATTATTTTGGCGGCGACGGTATTGGTGATTGTCATGGTGTGTTCTATACATTTTGTTGTATACGTTGGGCGGGCGTGAATATGGTGAACTATACCGTGGCGGGTTATTATCCCGCACCCTCTCCAAAGGTCTGAACGGTTTTTTGAATGAATTATGCTGTGGCATACTCTTTGGTTTTACCATTTTTGGTGGGACAGACTTATGTATTTGCTCTGCTAAACCAGTCCCGGAGTGATGAGCAGATACATTAGGATTCTGTTGCAAAAATTCTTCTTCCTCATACCCGCTACTATTGCTGTCCTGACCACCCTCAACTTCCTCATCCCCAGTTCCAGGGTCAGAATCGCTACAGCTGCTTGTATATTCAGACAGCAATTGGTCACTTTTTTTGGTATACCTGTTGTTATTGTTCGACTCATTTTTCTCCATTACTATGGGATCTCTTTTTGTTTTTGACATTTTAGAACTCAAAGAATGTTCTTCTTCTGCAACGGTATCGGCCGTTTCAGGTCCACTAGTATCGTCAACATTGTCGGATCCAATGATATCCATCATATCCGATTTCTGCGGTTTTTCACTATTTTGCCCGCTTGTTGAGAATTTGCTCTGCTCCCATTTTTCCAGTCTCTCAAAAAAAACGGGTCATGTTAGGCCAGGTTTCCTGAGTAGATTTTAGCATAAGTTCTGTTTTTTCCAAAAGTGAATCCCATTCTTCCCGCCTTTTTTTGTCGCGTAGCCGTCTTTTCATATTTGCCGGGACTATGGCTCCAGTCCCATTCTCAGTCCCTGTACTCTTTGGTTTTTTTATACCGACTTCCTCGCAAATGTTTTGTGCCTTGAGCAATTTTTTTATTACTCCTTCATCTCTGTTTTTGTTCGATTTTTTCCCAATGACACTTTCATTGACTCCAGTTCCTCTGTCAGACTCAATCGGACTTTGGACAGGGCTACATATTTCTGTAGAACCCGTATCAGCTGTTCCTGGGTTCTGACTAATTGGGTCTGTTGGGCTACCTGGACCCTCAGTTCCGCTACTTCCTGGCTGATTTTCATTATGTGCTGCACCAGTGTCTCGAAGTCCTGCCTCGGTACTGGGACTGGTTTCTTGACCATTTTGTTGCGTTTGAACAGCTTCTGAATTTTGCGCACTATTCGACACGTCCATAAGTTACAAGTAGAGTCCTTACACATATCAAGTCTATATAATTATAAACACACAAATTTTTTAACTGTGTATAGTATACGAGTCATATATAGATATGACGTGTACCTGTTTTCACTTAGACACGTCACCATGTTACATGTGTCACGTCGTAATTCCAGTAAACAAGTCTAGTTTAATGCAACGTATACCTGGTGACGCG